AGGGGGAGACAGGGAGGTATCGGAACAGGAAATGGGACGGGGTAAAGTGTTCACTCTCACACTCTTACAGTTTTTCCTCACTCTTCAACAAGTCTGACTTGCATCACCGTCCCTCTCTCCCTCCTACACAGGATACCCGTCAGCAGAAATGCCTCCTATGACTGCCAGCTCCTGTCGCCTGCCTGCACATTTCAATTACAGCAGAGTTCACAGTCCATTTGATAACTGTGGCCACTTTAGCTTTTCTTCAGAGTGCAGCTTTGCACCAAAAAAAAAAGACACAGGAAAAGAGTATCATGGTTGTTGCAGTTCTCAGTTTTTTCATCTGTTGTAGATGCTCTCTGGCTGTGGAACACACTGCCCGAACAGCATCCGGGGGTGCCTCAGACACTGGTTTCTGTGTAAAACTGGTCCAGAAACCTCTCTCTACAGCAAGACGTATTCTTTCAACTGCTGGATTATCTTTCCCCTGCTTTTACTGCTTTTTCTTGTCTTCCTGGTGTTAATAATTCTTTCTTTCTTTCTTCTTAGAATTATGTTTCTTTGTAGCATTTTGAGGTTTGCTTTTAATTAAATGGATCAAAATCGAATTGCTTCATTACTGGATTTAGTTTGACTGTTCCATAGAATTCTCTGGATGACTCAAACACAGTAACAAATGGTCAATTTGATTCGCCTTTGGTTCTATTCTGTCTCCAATATCCGTCAAAAAATGATGTTTAATCCACTTCACAGGCTGTAATTTGAGGAGCATTATCATCTTTGATGATGAATAACACTTTCATTCTACACCATGTATGAATGTGTCCAAATGGCTTCTTTTTTTGCTGTTGCTTTCAAGCACATCCTTCTTGTCCCGCTGGTTTACAATAAACTACAACACTAAATGAAGTGGGCACGTCCTTTTCAGCACTTCCGCTCAGCTTATTGAAACTTCTGTCTGAGGTACTGCAACTGTCTTCTGACCACACTTTCTGCACCTCATCCAAAACTGCTGCAGGCATACTTGTTTTCTGTCCTCCTGAATTCTTGCATGTCACCCTAATCCTGCTCTCCCACGCGCTGACTGCCTGTGGTGGCTCATTTCAGACCCAACACCTGGTGTCCGAGACTGCAAATGAGTGCACATCCGCATCCCTCCAGGCCATGGTCTGTCCAGGCTCTACATACCAGCCAGTCAATGCCATGCACTCTGCTAATGTTGTCTGCTTGGCTCTCCTAATAATGTGACCTGGTAATCACTCACCCCAGCCCTTGACTCTTCTCCTTCCTGGCTCTGAAAAATATTGGAATGACCTTCCCACCTCAGCCAGGGCCAAAGAGTAGCCCGACTCAAGCTGAAAATTAATCTCCTCTAGGAAACATTTCACATCCTCTTTAAATCATATCCTCACAGCTTCCTCTACTTCATTCTGTCTTCAGCTCTTATTTAACTTCGCCTGCAAATTATCTCCCCCAGATCCCTGCATCTCTTGTCTGTTTTCACCGGTGAAATACCCAAATCACATTTGTGTTGGCAGCAACGGCAACGTGGTCTGCTTTCAAAAGAAGACCGGCGGAGTGCCACCAAATCAAGAATGACGGGCAGATGTGTGCTGATAGAGAGTTCCTCCCATTGGACAGCTCACCTCCACTGCACGTTGTTTCAGTTAAAGTTGGGGTTGTTGTTTTCAACACAGCAGGAACAGCAACTATACCTGTGTGCTACCTGAAAATGCAAAACTGGATTGTCAACAGCTTGTTTATTATTTTTGGACCAAAGACCCTTTTGAGTGCAGTGTTCTCCCACAGTATTGTTTATTGCTCTTAAAAGTACGTACAACCTTGTTCTGATAAAGTGTACTGTATATCCACCTTATATATTATATGATACCTTTGATCTGCTTGTAAAGTCTCCATTGTATAAATTTATGTTCAGTCTCCGTTTCTGACTCTTTTTTCAAAGATTGGAGGTAAAGAGTCACAGCCTTTTGCCAATATTAATATTGCCTCAGCATCACTAAGCTACGGTTATTATATGTGCATGTGGGAGTAGTGACTTTCTATCTATTTCTCTATATTCCTGCTGCACATCTTACAGCTAATATTTAGAACTGATTCATTTCTTACTGTCAAAGTTGCTCTTTGACGTCTTCTTTTGTTTGAGGAGATACAACATTAATGTTGAATAACAAAACCAAATCACAGGACTTCTACATGCCTTTGATGTAGCAGTTAACAAACCAAATCTTGTCAGATGCACTCTCATTGTGTCTCCCTTACCTCTCTCCCTGTCCCTCTCTTGTCTCTCTCACTCTCCTTGAGACCAATTAGACATAGTTTATGGCGTACAGATATTTCCCCCACTGTTCCCATTCGCTCTTGTGCTTCCTCTTTGTGTCTCTCCCTCTATTGGCTCTTGTACGTGCACCGCAGACTGAGAAACCTACAGACAGACAAGTGGCTGGTACCTTGGTGGCCCTGATGAGCAAGAATTACCGCCTCACGGTTGTATGTCTCAACAACCAGTCATGCTGCAGTTCAAATCCATGTCTGTCCAAAATGTCAAAACCTTATCTTAATAGACATATATGTGAAATTTTCATAATTAGCGTGTTTCGTGAGGTCACGGGGACCTTTGACCACTTATTTCTAATCAGTTCATCCTTACGTCCAGGTAGACTTTTGCGTCAAATTTGAAGCAATTTGCTCAAGTCTCTCCCAAGATATCACGAGAATGGGACGCACGTGAGGTCACAGTGATCTTGAACTTTGACCTCCAAAATCCAGGTCCAGTCCAGGTGGACGTTTGTGTGAAATTCCCTCGAAGGGGTTTCTGAGATATCGCATTTATGAGATTGGGACTGAAGGACGGACAGACAACCCGAAAATATCCCTCCATAGCAGTTGCCGTCGCAGAGGCATAAAGAAAAGGATGGGGGGGGGAAGAAAAAGACGGAGCGATGACTAGAGGATGAAAAAGAGACGAAAGGGATTTAAAATATAAGAAAGGGAAGTGGATAGCAAGAAATAGTAAAAGGAGTAAGGAGAAATAATTGAAAAAAGAAGGGTTAAGCAAAATCAGCTTAATTCCTGCACACCTCCTCTCTATCTTCCTCTCACAGTCAAAGTGAAACAGCCAAAAGCAGAATTCTGGCCTCATGTTTAACTATTCACACTCAACAGTCATCTCCTGCTGTGGGTGTGTGTGTGTGTGTGTCATCTCAATCAATTCCCCGTAAGGGTAATAATTCAGGGTGAAGCACAAAGGTCTGGGACATCAGGGAGTTGCTGCATGAATATTCATATATATATATATATATGCACGTCTGTGTTTTTATGCCACTGATTTAATAAACTGACCTTTTAAGAACGTGTTTGTCCATTGTGTGTGTATATATTCAATATATTGGTGTGTGTGGTTCTGTGGAGGGTAAATGCTGTACAGTGTGTGCGTTTGTGCGTGGCACCAGGTGCTTCCCGTTCATGTGAGAAGAGCTTTGTGCTTTGGCTACAGGTAAATCATTTCTGATTTGGCCAGCCAGAAATATCTCTCCGGAATGTAACTGAGCATGAACACACTACTGCCGCAGGGCTAAGTGGGCTGACCTTCACTGGTTTAAAAGTCACCAGGAATGTGGTTTGCTTACGTCCCAGCAACCTGCATATAAAGCAGAGTTCTCCTCTTCACGTTAACTAATTATAGTTCTTTTATGATTAAACTATATCTTGACTGACAAAGTAGGCGTTATTTTAAAGAAATCAATGTTCTCTCTCTCTCTTTCTACTCTCTAATGATGCCACGACTAAAATGTTAATCACGGCTAAAAAGAGAAGCGATTGTGAATATCAAACAGCAATTGTATCATCATCATCATCATCATCATCGTTATTACCACCATTAGCTGCAGCACAAGATGGAGGATTATTTACCAAAACAGTGGAAAAATCATCATTTGCTTATTCAGGGCCTGAAATGTTTCACATGGAGCTTTTAATAAAATATCCTCCTAAATTTTGCACAACTAATTCATCTTAAAAAATGAACTGCTGCGGTTCCTGGAGCATGATAGCGAGAGCACACTGTGCTCGTTGTAAAATAGCAGTTATTATTTTATTACGTTGCAAAACCATACGCATAGACACAAAATGAGCCAATGAATAAGAAAATATTTAGTGTCTCTCTGTCATTCTATAGTCAATAGAGATACTCAACGAAACACTCAAACCGGTTGGGAAACAGACAGAATGCACATTTATGTGAGCTTATTTTTTAGTCCTGCTCCCATTGCCCTCTCTTCTCCCCGTCATGGCTCTGTTCCTGCACTGATGGAATTTAAATCCTTCCCTGGGTGTCAATTGTCTGATCTCACACCTGAGAACGGGCCTGGCGGATTCTGGAAAATCTTTGGGGTAGAAAACCAGGATGAGGTCATTATCCCCCAATCAATCCATGTGGAACAAAACCTCTCCTCCCTTTTGCTCTCATTTGACTATTGAGCTCAAACAAGAAAAGGTCAATCCACACTCATGACACCCAAAGGACAGCTATAATCAGAGTTTTGACATTAAATTGCTTTAGCAATAACACCTTTTTCTTCTATGCTTCCCCTCCCTCCCATTATCTCTCTATCTTTTACCTTTGAGATGGACCCTGCAAATATGGTTTGTTGCTGAAATTCATATCCCCACGGCAAAATTTGAAACAACAACCCTACTGTGCTCATAAACTAAAACAATATACAAATAATTCTGGGAACCCTAGGTCTTGACTTACTCCATTAAAAGGCTACAAAAGAATGAACAGCTTGAACAGGGTGTCTGCCAGCGGGTGAAAGCCAACCACATGTTTTCTACTCATTCTGCTTTTACAGATCTCCTCACGTAGTTAATCTTATCGTAAGTCATCATGATGTGACGTAAGCAGAAAGACTTAGAACTGCAATCTTGTTTTGAAAAACAGTTGTTGAGAAAATGTATTTGCAGCATTGTCAACATTTCAGGTCACATGTCTTCCTTACCTTGTTGTACAAAGGAGCCGTACACGAACCACATGGAATTGTACAGTGTTGTCGAGGACACGGAGCCCATGGGGAGCCGGGGTGGGTTGAGCCAGTTAAGCAAGTACACCAGGATGCCAACGAGGAGCACGGTGCCCGCGATGCACGCCCACAGGGACAGGTCGAAGGGCGCCAGGCAGGCGAACATGTCGACGGTGCGTTCGGCCTTGCGCAGCAGAACGCCCACAGAATAATCCATGTAGCGGGTGGTGAAGTCCACGACGCTCTCTCGCTCAGACGTGATGGTCAGGGCACTAAATCCCACATCGGCTCGCTGCAAGAGGCGGAGGGGAAACAGAGGAGTTTTAAGTGTCAACACTGTGAAAATGTGTAGGTGAGGAACACCTCTGAAAAGTCCCATTATCTAAAGAGATGCATGCATTCACTAAGTGCAAAGACATTTCACTGTCGCCTACCAAACATCTGAGCTGTTGGCAAGTAAACACAATTCTTTTTATATTTCTCTGTTTTGTCTCTGTACTGTGTACAAGTATGCACGTACTGTCTTGTAAGCCCCATGTAATACCCAACACGGACTGGGCATCTTTAGATGTGCTTGTTAAACCGTGCATTGATTCAAAGCCTTTCTCATCATTTGGAATGCTTGGAATTTTACGAGACAACAAATGACTGCTTTTAATTATTTACGTGTAAAGACTAAGTTGAAAAAAAAAGAAGCCGTCAGTGAGTATGTCTGCCAAGGAAATAGGCTGAGCTCAGCTTAAATGCAGAAACAATAATGTCTAATTAAAATGTTTTCAGTCCCTAGTGCTTGGCTACCAGCTGTAGACATCTGCTTGTGACATAACAAGGATTTAAGATGCTTTTGTGAGTGTGCACGTGTGTGTTTGAAAATGAGTGGCAAATATTGCACATATATATTACGAACTTGTTAGATAATTACATTTTATTTACTCGAAACAACTGACTGCAACTAGTTTGGGGATTTTGTCGGCGAACACTAAGCCCTGCAGCCAAGGCAAAACACACTTACAGACACTTGCAGACACTTGCATTCTTACAAACATCCATATCCCCACACGCACGCACACACAAGACAAGCACACATTTTAACCCACTGTAGGCAACAAAACAAATCTGCTAATTTCACAGTTGAATGAGGAAACAAAAAGCTTAAATGTGCAGAAATTGTCATTTAAACTGCATAAGAAGAATATTAGGAGAAGGCCTGCAGGATGCCTGTTGGTTGAGACAACACAACGATATGCATGCAAATATGTAAGTATGTGCCATGGCGACTGCTTTGGTCAGTCAACATGGCAATTGAAACTTCCAAAATGCACTCTGGGTAATAATTATCTGGTATAATTGGGGTTTTGGAGAGATAAACCGTGTTGCTGACAGATGGGGGGAAACAAAATGTTCAGTTTATTTACAGCCTGCGCTTGTCTGTGCTCACATAAATATTCAAACATGCATGTGCTTGAAGCATTTCTCCATCACATTGTGAGCTGTTGCATTGTAGTATACAAGGTCAAGGGAAGGAGAACCCAGTGTTGGGAAAATATTCAAGCCTAACGCACAACAGAAAGAAACTAATGAAGGACAACTTCTGAGAAAACATTGCCGATAATAACAAAGGAAACATCCCTGACCTATGGAGTATGAACACAATGTGTAGGAGATTAGCGCAATTCCAAGAGAACATCAAAGGAGATTGTACACACACACACACACACACACACACACGAGGTGGGGAATGGTAATTAAAGACTAGCTGGATCTTTATTGTATGGAAATGTAAGAAGGTTGTTGGATGAGAATCCACTCCTGCTCCTCTTTTTTCTATTGTCGAATTGCTTTTTTAAAGTAAGAGTAACCTGTGTTCTTTTCTGTTAAAGGGATTTCTCGCAACACAACGGAATTTTGGTTTAACAATTTCTCATGGCAAACCTTGCTGCATTGACCTCACATCAGTATTAACTCTGTACCCAGCTAACATGTTTCTTTAATCTCGCCTCTACTTAGTTCAGGTTATGAAAGGAAAAGAGACCCCATTGTTGTCATTACTGTGCCATCCTTCTTGCATCCCATGTCAGCAGTCCATAAATTATTTTGGGGGAAAAAGAATGGCGTGACTGTAAGAAATTGAGGTGAGCTCAAGTCTTATTGTTGGCGGGCCCCCATATGACAACACTCACTGAATGTTTTAAGGAACCAAGGCCCCAGAGGAACAGTGAAGGTACATGCAGATGTTTCCATGTGTTTGCTTAGAGTGTGTTTCTGTAGCAAAATAAAACGAGCTCTGTCTTTTCTGCAGTATAAGATAAGGAATGAGCATGAGTGCAACAAATCTGGCATCTGGCAAGAGCTCTTTAACTTCTCAGAGAGATATTGATCACCAATATATTTGATTGATTGTGTAATTAAAGATGAAAATCTGAATTATTGTCACCACTCCGAATAGACACATTTGTAAAGGTCTTTTTTTATTTCATTCCTCTTCTCTGTTGCTTACTTTCTTTCTGGGGTAAACAGTCAAAGATGAATTGATGGATTACTATATAAACATATTCAGTACTTTGGCAAAATAATGTCAAATATTCAGGAGCCTACTGTTTGCTAATGGCTACTAGAAAAGCTGAACCGACAGCCAGACAAAAGACAACGTTAGCATCAAAATTGGCAGAACAGAAGATTTATCTGCTAATTTGTTACACAGCAGTGACATTTGTAAACTTTGTGCTAATAAACAGCAATGGTGGGGCTACCTCGAGTAACCCATTTGCTATGGTGGCTATGATAAGGTTAAAGTAATTATCATCCAACTGTGCCGATCAAACTGTAGACCTCTCCATCGTCGTGACATCCACATTCATAGCTTCATTGCCACTTTTCGTCTTCTTACTGAAAGCGGTTCAAGTGTCTGCCAGAAGTTATGCATCAAACACTTGAAGACACCTGAAGCTAGTCAAATCATTAGAAAGCTGCAGTGTTTTTTTCACCAATATGCAATATGACATCTCTGAGTGTCTAAATTTCTCGCTCCAATTTAAAGAAGTTAAAGTCAGCCCTACGGTAGTCTATTGCAATATTTGCTTTTGAAGTGACAGGATTTCTAGTGGGAATGTTATGATGGGGACTCCAGACTGTGCAGACTCAACCTGAAGGAAGCTATAGTCCTATTTAGCATAAGTGATGCCGATGGCATGTGTCTGCTTGCATGCCTGCTTCTCCTCCTTGTGTATTCTTGTAATGACTATGCATAAATAAGCAACAAACTCCCATATCCATAATGTCTCTGCAGGCTAATTTATCTCATTTATCCAACCCATGTTATTGTTCTCCAATGTTCAATCTTATTGTGTGTGTGTGTGTGTGTGTGTGTGTGTGGTGCATGCATGTGAATTATTTTCTCCTCACCTTAAAGACCAATTCACCCATCAGTCCGTTCCACTGACCGTCAGGCTGCAAGCTGCCGTATTTGTGGTCTGGAGTGACGTAGATCTCGTACTTAAAGCCCAGGTAGTTGGACAGAGCGTCCAGCACGTCGATGGAGAAGCCCTGGTACTTTTTCGGCTTTCCCAGAACATTCTCTGACACCATTACGAACGGCTCCTCCTGCAAGGCAAAAGATCAATCAGTGTGTCAGCAAGTCAGTCAAGCAGCCAATCAATACACCATCATTCAAGCATTAAATCACCCAATTACTCAAGTGGCCATTATACCACCACAAATGTTCATCTTAAAAGGTTGGGGGAATGTCTGTGAGAGCCAACATTACAAAGAGGTCACATTCAATGTGGGGTGAACATGGGATCTGTTTCCCCTCTGACATGTGAAACGCCATAACAGGGGTGAAACATGCATCACATCCAGCTCTCTTATACATGCATGTGTATCCTTGATCCCTCGTGCAATTTGAGATACTAACAGCATGGGGACTCATTGAAACATTGCTTTATGTCAGTTACTAGACAACAAGATTAGGAAAGAATACTACGTACAATTGTTAGCAATATGGTACAAAAAAAAAGTTCTGACCAGCAATAATTCTGCCTTCTGTTCTTGTGACGGCTATCTGGATACTGACTAATGTACAAACAAAGATGCAACGACATGCTGTACTTAATATCTGTTTAAGTGTTAACATTTTTAGATTAGAGGAGAGAAACAACAAGTACCCCTCAATCTTGTTTTGGCTGAGCTCCCAAAGTTCCCTACTCAGCTTTCTTTTTATTCACAGAGGGAACCATGATTAATAATGTATTTAAACATAGCCTATTTAACATTTTCAAGTGAATTAAAATGTTGGAAATCAATAATCTCGCCGTGCAATTCAGCAGATTTGTTTTTTTATTGGGTCATTTTGAAATGCGCTTGGGACGGCTGAACATTGTTTGTCAATATCTCCACGGCATCTAAAGGGCAGCTTCCTGATGGGGTAAAATGGCATCCAACGGCGCTGACATTCTAGGCAATTAAAGGGACACGGCGCAAGGCGAAACAAGGTATTTTTCAAAATGGAGAGCAACTTTTACTTACTGTACTTTGATTGAGTGTTTCACACAGGAGTTTTCTTTCTTCTCTCTCCCTTTCTCCCTCACCCCTCTTTTTCTCTCTTCTGTAATACTTCCCTATTGATGAGTGAAATGTTTCAGGCTAATATGTCTCGCAGATTTATGAGGGGCCTGTGTGTTATTGACTGGATACTGGCTGCACATTAAGCACAGACAGACATGCATGCAGACTATGCTACGTATTACCATGGCACTTTCTAATCCTTGCTACCTGCTGCTGTTCAATAACCCATTAGGCAGTGAGTGGACACGCATGCCAAGTCCCTCTCTCACCAGAAGCAGCTATCCATCAAGGCAGTAACACCCACGGGCATACACACCCATACATACTGAATAACGCCCCGAGCACAACAGACTGCTTCCCTATGCGGGTACTTTCAACCTTTATAGACCAACATGGATGATCCTTTTGTACAGGGGAACAATAACACAATTGACCACTTGTCCAGATACATTTCTCAGGCGAATGTTTACATTGGAAGCTCATTTCTAAAGGTAACGTATGACATACATTACACAGCCATGATGACATATTTAGAATTTAGAATATAGGTATCAATGTTTCCAAATCAACTGTGCAGACACATGAGGGTGGAAGAATGTTCCACTACTTCTCCAGCTTAGAGTTTTACGAGTGCATTCGCCTCTTCTTTATTGCGTATTCTATTTCTGAAGTGCAGGACAACAGGATTCTAACAAGCTAGGTTGTCAATCAGTCTAGGGATGTTTAAAGAGAACTGGACACAGCATTGGAGGTGTCGCCCTGTTCATTCCTATGACAGTTGTTCAACTGCGCATGAAGGAAAAAAAGGTTTGATTTCTGATTATGAAATCCACACTAAATTACCAAAATCTTCCGCATCCATGGGCTCATTGAGGAAGCGCACTAGCGTTTCCCCTTAACCCCTTCGACCAGCCCTCCGTCCAGCCTCGTTCTCATAAACGGAGGAAGGAAAACAACCCTGGATTGGCTATTATTGCATTTCACAACTTTGAGTACCTAACGATTTAATTAAGGGCTATTCAAGTGTTAGCACTTGTTTTTCTGGCCCAAATGGTATCATGTGACGGACCCAGAAGTTCCACAGTTTGGCCAATATGTAAAATTTGCTTCAAATCCCGGCACTCTTCCTGGGGGCTTGGTCCAGGGGCAAGTATGTGTGTAGTAACAAGCAGTTAAAGAATAAATAAATGACAACATTGACTTATGTATCCTATTTGCTTTCACTTGATGATTGGAAATTAAAATTATACTTTCTAAGTCAAAATTGAGCTGTGCCTGAAAAAGATTCTCATTCCATTTTCTCTCTCTATGTTTTCCCAATAACTATTTACCTGTTGTGCAGTAATTGCTTTCCAAGTAAACAGGCTCCGTGATTTGCAGTGAAAGCCCAGATATTCATGCTCCACACATGTATGTGACTGCGTAAGCACAGGCCCACCAACACAAGTGTGCTAGCTAACAATAGAACACAAAACCAATGGCAGCGGCAGATCAATACAAGACAAGAAACAATGCAACTTTGTGTAGATGTGTGTATGTGGGGGTGGGGGGGTGTTTGAAAGTCTCATTACGGTGCACTGAAAAGGACGAGGAGAACAGAATGCATGTCCCTCTAGTGCCTCTAAGCCAACCCACGATTTTAGCTTAGCTCACTGTTCTCTGGCAAGGGCAAAGGTTTTGACACAGATGTCATTTCAAGTTGGCTGTACAGTGCATGACAGCTCTCTCCTTCACTTAGACATCACCATGAACTCTTCCTACACTTGCTGGACTGTCACTGGTCTTTCCTTCTGTCTTTAATCTTGCAAAACATGGCGGCTTTTGGAGAAACAGTCTCAATTCTCTATGAAACTATAAAGCCAAGTATGTTTTTTGGAATAAATCTGAAGTAAAAAAAACAAGCCATGCAGTTACAGAAAAATGCCTTACATATAATATCTGGTTTGAATGAGTTGTTTAAGTTTTGAATTTTGAGAGGCAACAAGTCATGTTATCATCTAAACACTTCTGATTTAGCTTACTGGTTGGTCTCGCTTTGAGCTGCTAGGCTCAATACTCAGTCAATGGTTTTCAGACTGAAATCGTGTCGCGAAAAATCACCTCCTGAGATGTAGTCTGGCTTTGTGACGGCAATCTGTCTCTCGTCTCGTCTCCCTCTCTTTGTCGTTATTTTGCATTCTCCTCCTTTCCCCTGCCACTCACCAGCTGTGATACACACCGTTTGGTATCTTTCCAACGTCCCCAGCTTTCCCTAAACATATGTCTTCTCTCTCCATCCATCGAGGCTACAATCCTTCCCACTTGTCATTCTTGCAATACTACCTCACAACCCTCCATAACCGGCGATCCTTCTCTTCCATCTCCTCTTTGTCTTCCCAATATTGCTCCCATTTCTTATTTAACTCATCCCTCCTCCTGCTTCCTTTCCTCTACTTTAATTCCTTTGATGCAAGTTCATCCCCGGTGTCCTCTTGACTGGAAGTACCAGTACGGATGGATGATTTGCTGTTTTTGGAGATGTGATTGGAGCAGGAAACACCAATTGTACCACAAAGACTAAGTAATGGCATTTGAAGTGTCCTCTGAGGAAATGCTGGGCATGACATTGTCATGTGGTGATTTGTAGCGGTGAGCATATTCAAAACACTCTGTGGATTTGTCCGTGAAATTGGTGTAAAATGTATTTTGAAAAGCTCTGCCAGTCTCTGCAGAAGATAATTATCCCTCAGTCTCAGTTTGATAACGATGGTGGAAATGTATCAAAAAACAACAACAGACAAACTGTATATATATATATATATATATACTGTATCATATACTTCATTCCTCTTCCAACAGTTCAACAGGTCCAACCTTTTTATCAACTGGTACAAACAACCGTGAACACGACAATGTCTGCGGCCGGGGGTCCTTTGTTGCATTTCCCTCTTCCTTGTTTTCTTTCAATTTTCTACCGTCTCTATCTAATGGCATACCCAATAACATCATTTAATCAAACTCAGTGTCTAAAACAATTGAATGTAAGCTGATCAATCATAATGGATCGTTATAGTCAATCATTCTCAATCATCGCAACAGCTGTGCTTAATGTGTGCGTCATCCTCTTTCAAAGTAAAACTTGTGGTTAATTCGGGGGGAAAAAACTGAGCATGCTTTCATTATGAAAAAAAAGTAAACTCAAGTTAAAAAGGGACATCCTCTGCCTTTGGCTGCATATTTGGGCTGCAGTATATATTCACAGCTTGCTACTCTTTCAAAATATCAATTTTGGTCACACTACTAAGCCCTGTAGACAACCATGGACACATAATTGCAGGGATTTAGCCATTCCTTGGTAACATCTATTTAACAATCAATACATTCCCAGCCAATCAATAGCATTGATTTAAAGTCATTAGCCCTAATAGTGGTATGATCTAATCACCAATTAACTAATCAATAACTATTCAACAGTGTGGAAGATAGGCTAGAAATAACAGATCCTTTTACAGGTTAATCTTTGTTTTCGTGTACATGTGCGTGTTCACACATGCTTGTTTGTTTCTGCTCGTTACGGCGCAGGAGCCGCTCTGCATGGTGCTGTGTGAGACAACTGCACATCACACACAGAAAACAGTTGTATCACAGCAGAAAAAAAGCCCAGAGCAACACGGAAACAATCTGTTCCAAAGGTCCCTTTAGAAACCTTTCACATCATGCACTCACACTTACACACACACACAATCAGGATTTGCCCTCTAACCATTCTCACGTAAAAAAAGAACACAGCACATCCGGGCTGCACCCTGGACATTTCACGATATTTCTATCTATTCTTGTCTTTAGGCGCTCATGAGGCATCAGTCATCATGGGTAACACACATTTACACAACCAGGTCTGTACAGAATATGAAGGGTAGGGAGGACGATAGATGTGCACATACAGTAATAAATGTTCAAATACGGTACATCTATAGGAGCCACCCGGTCAATGAGAGAAAGGGCGACATCAAAATACACAATCCATATTCTTTTTCCTTTTAAAGATGATGAAAATCAAAGACCTGGGGAAAAAAACAATTTAGAAAGAAAAAAGGATCGCAACAAAGATGTCTAGCATTATCTCTTTCTTCTCTGCTTCTGACTTCAAAGACGGGATATGAAGAATTTACAGACGTGAATCTTTAAAGCACTCATGGGATGTACTCAAATCGATGCTGCAGGCGAGACAGAAAGAGCTGGAGTCTCACTTTCATCAAGTCTCCAATGTTCTCCATCATCTAGCTGTCAAATGCCAAAATGGAAGCTAATGAAACGATTATAGTTCGGGCCATTACTAAGCTCATCTTCTTACATTTTGTTTGTGTTTCGCCTTCTCTGACTCTCAACACTTTGTCTCATGAATGTTTGTCTGCCATTTTCCTTCCCGAACACATCCTGTCCCTCCCTACGTCTCCATAAAGACACAGTTGAATGATGGGCAGAAAACTAGACAAAAGGACGGAAATACAATAAAAGTCTGACATTCCAGCTCTAGTCACAACAGTCCGTCTTTGATTTTTTTTGAGTGAGCGGCTGGACAAATGTCAAACAAGGAACACTGAAACAGGTCTTTCTTTTTCTTATGTATGGCCAATTTCAAATCATAGAATGATAAAAAAAAAAAATAAAAGAAGACTTGCGCAAAGAAATGAAAACACAGGTCAGACACTCACCAAAACAGTCACGACTCGTAGCACCACTCCTCTCATGTTATTTTCCAATTTCCTGTCTGTCAGCGTGCCATTCAATCCGTGAACTGGGTCCCACGTTGCCAGCTGCAATGTGAACAGACACACAAACATACAAGTTAGATTCTCAGACATCGTGGACAGTGGATGAATTGGGTTTACAGAGCGATAAACGGTAAGAGAAGAAAAGAGGCAAATGCACCTCAAGCACACAAAACATTAAAACATTAAAACATTAAAAGGACGTCCTTGTGATCCAGAGGGAATACTTATTGAACAAAATCAGAGCTGAAATGAGATGTTAACTCACAGTAACAAAGTACAGTAGCCTTCTAACTGTAAACACAAATACTTTTCTATCTACTTCACACCATATATTTTAATGTCCTACTTTCTATAAAGCCCCACTTTTGAAAATGAATTTCCTGAACACACCAAGGTGTACCCCAGGTGCACTATGCACTGTACCTGTGGAAATTATGGTAATTTTATTCAAAGGCGCTTTATGAATCTGACCCAGACTTCTTTGTGTATCAAATAAATAATGTGGTCCGGGGGAAAAGACTGGAAGTTTAAGTCCCAAATCATATTTCCTTCATGTGCTGCCTTCTGCTTTCAATAAGATATTGTTTCAAGATCAAGCTGCTCTCCCTGTAGAGGTAGCAAAGAGAGAACAAAAAAAGAGTTGATTTGCTGTCTGCAAAGACAAACATGCACCACCACACACGCGTACTGTGATACACACAAAATTGTATGGCTTGATTTGTGCTAGAAGAAAACACAAACACACCAGAGAAGCAGAGGGCATGCTGTAGAGGGAAATATGGGATAATCCATTTCTCTAAAGCCTGAAGTTACTGTTGAATGTGTTATTCTCTGCCATTTCTGATCAATTCCCTTTTGGGACTAATACTTACTGTGAGAAAAAACTGGTTTCTGTTTAATGCCGTGGCATTTAGCGAACATTTCATATCCTGTTTGAAGTAACAATTTAACCCGCTCATCTGGTAGAATCACTTTGCTTAACCTAGTCATTGGACACACCCAGAGTAGACCACCACGGGTGGGATTTCCCTTACTATTCCCGTTGCACCAGTTAAGGTAGGGCTATCAGTGTTGCTCAAGGTCCCACTTCACAAGAGCTTCAGTTTACACAGATTCTAATGAGCCAGTTCACGTTCATTTATTCTATTCTTTTTACTCTTTACTTGGTTGGATTCTATGGCGTTAAATTTGTCTTTCAGACCTATTTTCATGTACGTGAGCACACAAAAAAGCATCAGCGAGCGGAAAAGCATCATCACATGGTAGCAGTTCTGCTCCCCGTGCACAAATGGAGTCCTGGTAGCACAGGGCAATAACAAGTGCGAACTTGACCCTCCTTACGCACTCGCGACTACGTGCTCGCTCATTCGTCAAGTTGACTTTTGAGACTTTGGAGGCAGGGATAGAGTACACAGTGGCTGATGTATGTCTGTCTGTCTGTCTGTCTGCGAGCGTTGCAAACTGTCCCGAGAGTTAACAACGCTCATGTTCACGACTGTCATTGTCGGATATATTCAGTTTACCATTAACCAAAAACTTTAAGGCATTCTTATATGATTGAATTCTGGTGACCTCTCATAATCATAGCCCAGCATAGCACTGCCCAACTTGACTTTAAATCTAATCAACCATAACTGAACACACCAGTGTAGATGTACAGTGCCTGTGCAAAGTCTGGGTATTACATCCCTCTAAAGGCCCTGCACAGCCATTGTTCACCCACTTGATTAAACCTCTTCTCAGGACTGAGTAAGTTTACACAGACTGTTTGATTGACACTCTGTGACTTCTTTTAGCTTTATTGCACTAGTTGGGGCGGAAAAATGACAAATTTGTCATTGTTTTTATTACAACAAGTCCAGTGACCACACATATTTCCCCATAAAGCTACATCCTGCTTTAATGTGAGCAGAGGTCTAATCGGGGAATTTATCTCCAACGTATCCTTATCATGTCTCATTCTAATTATCATTAGAACATTGCTGCCATTTCAAATTCACTGTCACTCTTCTCGTCTGTCTGCATTTATGTAACTCACACAGACTCAGCCAGGTAGATCATGTTACATGTTATCCTCGTTTCAGCCTGGGAGGGGAGATGTGGAGCTAGAATCTGAATCTGGCTCCTCTCCTACACATTCAAAATCTGCATCCGGTATTTTTTTGTTTTATTCTCTATTTTATAACATGCAGAAAACAGAGTCATTTGTAATATTTAGTCTCTCTGAAGATGAGCCAACTTAGCTTTATTCTATAACACAGAAAAAAAAACTACTGTTGTACTCTGCTCACTACAAACCCATTGTTAATACAGTGTGTGAATGTGTGTGTGCACCCTGCTCGCGACTCACATATGCCTGCAACCCTTCTCGGTTTTTTTGAAGTGTACATATGTGCTGTGCTGTGTGCAAAATACAAAAGATAGAAGGTGAAGACAAACAAGATGCAAACATCACACACATACAAAGATACCGTACACATAGAATAAGTAAAAAAAAAAACAAAGAACAAAGGGAAAAAAAAGGGTCTGTGGTAAGTATCTGTTACAGCTCAGTTTAGTTTGGTGACAGAGAAGCAGTAGTGAGACCAGACGTCTTGAGTGGGACCAGGGAAAGTGTTTTTGGTGAAACGTGAAAACGGGGGTCGGTAAATAAAGCAGGACGAATGCAAATTGAAAATGGTGTTGTAGTGCAATGTGTGCTCTCCTATCAGCCTACTCAGTTGTTTACTTCCTGAAATCTTGACCCTTATTTGTGGCAAAGCCCTGTGGAAAAAGTAATGAACAGTGAAATGTACAGTAAGTAAGTGAACCGTAGCCAATCACAGCCCACTGTATTCCACCCTTTTAATAAGCTGTTCAGCTGTTCAGCACTGAGCCGCACAAACCTTTGTATATAAAGTCAGCGTGAATGTAAACAAATACGATTTAGAGATAATGGCAGTTACAAAATCAAAACAGTGTGGGTTTGTTGCATTTATCAGCATTTCCTGCACTGCCTCTAGAAGACAATAATGGCCTTCTGCTGTCATTTTACCCTTAAGCAAGGCACTTAATATTGATTCGTTTGGACTATGTGAATAAAACAAGAGTTCCTATTAAAGGCATTAGTTCGAGCTTTCATTGAGGTCCCTTGGCCGCGATGTTGAAAGATAGCACTGCACTTTTCCACTGTGAAAAAAAGAATATAAAGAATAATAAAGGAGATTCAGGCAATGAACATTCTGCAACGGCCTGTAATGAAAAGTAGTCTGTGCTGCATTTCCCACGGTGTTTAAACGCAAGTCAATAAAATGAGGGGAACACACATCAATCAAAATTGTCAAGCACTACAGTTATCACAGAGGCTATCAATCAGGGGCAGGCTGGCTTTGTTTGCAGCCGTATAGCACACTCAGTCTTTCACAGACAGATGCAAAACACACACAAATGCACACACATTATGCATTAAAGGAAAATCTAATTTTACTCTCCCACTATGGATTGATCGTGATACATTGCGGATTTTGAATGGTGTGCTTAAATGATGACTAAATGAGTCATTGGCAGCCACTGAGATTTGTGTTTTTTAAAAGGCCCAATTTCTGGAGGTGAGTGTGATGAGTGTTATTATCCAAATTGCTCTTTGTAAACATCTACGGTACTGTATGAAGAGTGTCTTTTTGGTTCCACTATTCCACTGTTGCAGATGCACACACGTCCTTCGAAATGCCAATCTGGGTTCATCGTCCTTTATTTTCAGTAATTTCTGAAGTATTAAAAGATATCACCTCTTATGAATGTTGTTCTTGGATCTCTGCTTTAATCAACCACTTCTTTGAATCTTTTTAGAACATTTTACTTTTATAATTCAGCCCATTAAAGCATACTGTAAGTTGAGCCCGTCGACATTCCTGCAACATCACAGCAACCACTAGATGTTATTAAAAGCTATAAATCCTTTAATGCCCTCTAACATATTTATCTTTTATAGTTCCATTTCTAGATAAGTAAGAAGACTATGCTATTGTATTTAATATTATATCATTATACTATGCTACATTATCTGAATACCAAGATTTTCACTCTATATTCATATTGTTTTGACTTTCATATAACAGGAGAGTGTGAAAGCAGCGTTGCATGTGAGTTTGTTTGTGTGTGTGTGTGTGTGTGTGTGTGTGTGTGTGTGTGTGCGAGTATGTGTTTGTGTGTGGACGAGCACACGTGAGTCAGGACATAAAATGGCAGCCTGGCTAGCAGAGTGGCACACTGCCTCTGCTTATCTCCACAGCTCCAGATAAGGGCTCATTTCCCCCCGACAGGATGAAATAAATGTGCATTTGTGTGTGTGTGTGCGCATGTTAAGTGAATGACCCACTGGGCCGAGACCCTTACCATGAAGACTGAGGCTTCAACACACCGCCATTAGCGTCCCACAATGCTTTTCCTCCTATTTATCATGCACTATCTCTATTCTGCTTGCTTGGCTTCCCTCTGTTGCTCATTTACTGCTCTCTGGTCAGTCGTTCCTTTTGCTTTGGACACGATTCACATTTTACTCCATGTTTCTGTGACTCTCATCATGTCTCTCATCTTAACACTATTTTCTCTGCTACAACATTTGCTTTTATCACATGAATCAGACCCACAGTGATAAGCAAACCTCTATTCCCATACCTGATAATCAGATTAATAATAACGAGCAATGACAATCCTTATGAACATATTTGATTACAGTCATGGGCTTATTTCAGTCCAAACTGAGATACGACAGGGTGGGTTATAGTATACTGTATAGAATGTATGTTGTAAAACACTAGTTTTCCAAACTCAAAGCCATAAGATCACATCAGACTTCACCTGTTGCATTTTCTAGTATTTTCTTTCAACTTGTTACTAAGTTAACCAAAGAACCACTGACCAATCAGCTTTCTCACCATACCTCAAAACCAATACAACTTACATACATTTCCAACTCATGGCTAACAACCAGTGAGTTACACATTATCTCCTGCAATGTTTCGGCATTCCAAGCAAACTCAGATACCTAAACGCTGAGCTTC